TTATGTCTAAGATATTCCTTAGTTTTATTTGTGCTAGCTTGTCACATTGTATTATTTACTGTTTTCATTCCATGTAATCAATCATCTCTAATGCATTTTATTGCCTCAATCAACAAAGACATTACAGAGATTAAATTAACAAAGAGTTTTGTTAAATTTGTTCATTGAAAATCAAATTATCCTACTTTCTTATATTCTGAGCTAATTACAGTGATCAACGATTTAACTTGATATTAGATAGCTTTCAAATATTGATGCATTATACTGTTTGAACAAAAAAATCATAACTGTCTTGTCATCAGAACCTACGCAAGTCTTGAAAAATGATTTATCCTACAACACAATAAGACCCTTTAACTTTCTTAGTATTTTTGGCTTATTTAAGTTGTAAAGTCCTTTTTTAATCACATCCTTTTTCTTTTACTGCTTTTCCAGGTCAGTGGATTTGTTGAACAAGTCTAATAGCACAACATCACATTGAAATAAAATGATTACTTGAAGTGAAACTTGATATATTTTGTTATGTAAATTAACATCCAAATAGTTTATGCCAGTAGTCGCTGACCTTTCTCATGGATCACTAAACTCACAATTTTGAATCTTGTAGACCACTATCAATAATTTTTTTTATACAGAGAAATTTTTTACAAACATCTCTAGAATAATGATCATAAAAGTTCTATTTTACTTTATTAATACGAAATTCACTTGTTTAATTATAAATTAGTGTGAAGTTTGTTGCTGCTTGTTTGAAATATGTTTATGGATTCTTGGCTTTTTTCCAAGAAGGACAACAATTGCACTTGCAACATTATTTATTGTTGATTATTTTTTATTTATTGATAAGTCATTTTGTGTTTGGTTTTAGATTCAAATAAGGAACCCACAATGAGGGAGAAAAAGCAGCTATGCATTTTGCATTTTTTTCATAATATTTTATGTAACGTTGTGTTGATCAATGTCCAAATTTCTCTATGAATCACCAAAATTTTCATGGGCCATTGGTGGTCCATGAACCACCAGTTGGTGACTGCTGAATTATGCAAATCTTCTGATTAAAATTCTGTATGCTTTTGAAGTTATAAAATCCTTTTTGAATTATCCTCTATAAAATAAATTTATAGTGAAACAATAACAATCCACGAAAAAATTTTTTACGAGTGTTATGTCACTAGTAAATTCCACAAGTACTTTCGACTTCCACCGAGGTCTGCTTCAGGTGGTGACAGGCCAGTCACCACCTGAAGCAGACCTCGGTGGAGGTCGAAAGTACTTGTGGAATTTACTAGTGACATAACACTCGTAAAAAGTTTTTTCGTGGATTGTTATTATTCAACGCAGTGTTAAGTGGTTGGAAGTCGTTTATCTTATAGTGAAACGTCTGATATAAGGAATGCCGAAGAAAAGTTATTTTGAAAGAACGTGTTTGTTTACATGAAAGTATATAAACCCAGCATGAATGAGGTGAGAAATTGTCACCAGCTATGAGGTGGGTAGGAGATACCCGAAACTTCGATGCAGAATTTTTTATACTATAATTGTGTAAAAAGTATTTTTTCACTTGGAATAATAAAAATAATATCTATTCAACAAGATGAGTAAATAAAATATTATGTTTAAGATTGAAAATCATTTTTTTTAAATTGAAATAACAGTGTCTATATTTTTTGAAAACCACAAGTTTTGGTAGTTTAACATTTTTTCGTATAAAATTCTAACAAAATTACAACTTCTTTGGTTAATCAACATAACTATAGTATCTTTCAAGTATAAAAATAGAAAAAAAACTAAAAGTTCTTATGAGATCAATGTGCACAGCACCAACATTACACCTACAAATCAACACAATCTCCACACACAAAAATCACATGCTTCATACATATTGGCTTCTCACACTTCGAACAGCAATGTTTTGTTTTCCTATCTGTTTTTTAGTGCACTCACTATACCTGACATATTTATTAGCCATTTTTTTTTTTGGAAACAGGTAATGAAGGTTTTCCCAGTTGATCAGTAATCACTTTTCGAGTTTCCCTTGGAAGATGTGTTTTTTTTGTCTAATGCAAAGACTATCATTTGAGAAATCTAGAAATAAATCTAAAAATACTATAAATAACTATAACTCATAATCTTACTGTCAACTCAAAAATGTAACACCGACTATTAGGTCGTGTGTGACGTACCCCAGTCACCTTTGCTCATGTGTATCTCCCGCTGACGCAGGCGCAACACTAAACTGAACACTGCACCTCGTCTCCTACTCACTTATCTCCAGCTACTGTGACTACGGGATTTCCATGACAAAAATAACATTAAATAATCTGCGTTTAAAATCTTCTCGGGTATGACATACCCCGCCTCACTCACGCCGGGTTAAATAGATTATGCTGTATTATAAATTTTTGTGTAAATTAAGGATTATAATTATTTTTACATGTTCTATTGTTGCAAAATTCTGCAAGTGTAAAAAGACTGCTTCAGTTAAATATATGTGACTGTAAGGGTTTTTTTTTTTCCTTCTAAATAACATTTTTCCATTAAAAGTTCACAAAATTTGGCATTGTGTTGATAAAGAAATAAATCAACAGCTGCAATGCAAGGTTTTATATGATATACATTTACATTAAAGCCAGATGATCTGCCAAATCATTGAACTAATAAGGTTAAGTTAATAATTTAGTCTTATTATAGACAAATAATTCAGCAGGTCGTCTGGCTTTAATCAAAGATATTTGTTTTACTAAATGTATTGGCTGCCTGAAGCAAAGCAATGTTAATTACCTGGCTATGCAATTGTTTGGTTTCATTAAAGCTAAAATACAAAAATCTATGCCTGAAGCAAAGTTTAAAACTGAGATCTATTGATGTGTGTAATATCCTCTACAAGCCAAATCCGACATGCTTGTGAGTTTTCTCCTATTGTTGAAAAAAATCCAGTTACAACTGATCAAATATCTAACCAGATTTTTTGAATAACTGGAGAAACATCACAAACATGTCGAATTCAGCTTGTAGAGGATATTACACATTAATATTGAAGTTCTCCATAGAGAAATTTGAAATCTAGTGAGTAAAGAATGCATTGACAAATTCTAATATTAGATTGGCATTTTGATGTCATTTAAAATTACAAATATTAATTAATTTAAATTGTAATAATAAAATTAGCCTTTTTATTCAATAGTAACTTTATAAACATTAATTTTATGCAACTTTTTGACATTAGGCAATGAAATGTTTTCAAAAATTTATTTAATGCTATATTTCCTTGATTATAAGATGCACAATTTAACTCATTTTTACTATCTGAAGTATCGATTCATCATAGAATCGGTTGCATATTACATTTGCAGTGCTAAATATAATCATCATGAGAGTACCACACAGTTTTATGCATCAATAATTGATGTTTTTGATTATACTCTGCCCTTAATTGTCATATTGGTTCAAATGGTAATAAGTATTTAAACTAAGTTTTATTATATAAAACACCATCAAGACACTGTTATAATGTAGCAATAATTCTTGTAATTCAATATATGAACCTGGAGTTATGCTTTATTCTAAAACAAACATTTTATGAGTTTTGTATTCAAGAACATTCAGTTTTGTTTAAGTAAACATCTCTAAAATTGTTTGGTTTGGTAAATAATTTCATGTTAATTAACCATAATACAGTAAATCTTATTCAAAATGACACTATAATATTTACATTGTGATATATCAAAATGTTAGGTTTAAGTACAGGTTCAAGATGGATTATTTTGCATACAGTCGACCCCCCCCCTATAATTACGGTCCCTATAATTACGATTCCTATAAAACTACGAAAAAATATACGTATTTTGGAAATGTTGAGTCGGATTAGTGTAGAATCGATTAATTTTATGGAAGAAAACCTTTCAATCAGCCATAGTCCGTAAACTTGACATGTGTCGGGCTGTGATTGGAACGACTTGTAAGAAATCGGATTCCTAATAAATTGGAACGTATCTATATCTTATAGGGGGGTCGACTGTACTTACCATGAACCTTATTTGGTATATTTTATCAAATTTTTAAACGTGTATCACAAACCTAAATGTTTTGTCTACATATTATATATTGGCTGAATCAATATTAACAACTTTTTTGTAACAAAAAATCTTATATCAGAAAAACACACAAAATGCATACTTAATAATTTTTAAGACCTGTCTTTCAAGTGATCAGTCTTGTGCTAAAATTGGTCTAATGAGAATCACGTTTTCATGTGTTTTTTTTTAATATAAGATTATCTGTAATTGTTACAGTAAATAAAATATTTTTAAGTTTATTCTGTAATGTTATAACCCTTGAAGAAAGGTGTTAATGAATTCATTTTATTTATTAATAGTTTTATTTATAGTACTGAAGTTACAGAAGTGTTGTTCAGAAATTTTATCGTTCATATCTGAGTACTAAAGCTTTAAATAAAACCAGATTTGGACATTTAAATAGATCATATTGCATAAAATTGTTCTGTAATGGCTTGAGAAATTAAGTCTTAAGTGATTGTATGATAAAATAGAAATTTTTTTTTTGAAGTTAAGTAGCTTAATTTTAAAGAATTTAAATTGATGAAATCTTTAATGTAGTAACAAATTACACATGAATACAAAAAATTCTATGTAATTTGTTACTTCATTAAAGCATTTTATTAATGAATTAATTTTACAATACTATGAAATAATTACATAGCTTGTTTAAAAAAAATATGTTTGTTGACACTGTTTTACATAGACATTATTCATTGTCTGTCCAAATTTAAAATACTGTACATATGAAACAGTTTTTTGAAAAAAATTATTGCAACAATCTCTATCATTCATAAACATCATTTTTTCCCTACTGACAAAATTTAAACTTCTCAGATTTATTGTTGTGATTGTTAATTAATCTAAATAGTAATATTTTATGAAAATTTTATTATTCTTAATGTATTTTATTATATTTGAATCGATTAACTAATTTATAAATAGTTTCAGGTCCGGGCATGCCACCTTCGATGCCACCGCCTACATCCCACGTAAATCCCGCACCACACGTAAACCCTGCATTTTTTACACCACATTCTCATCAGGGAGTACCACAAGGTCCACCACCCACTTCTCAACCAGGTGATATGTACAATCGTCCACCTGGTAGCCAGTATCCCGATTACAGAAGTCTACCGCCAGACAGGTAGATATATTTTAAAATTAAAATTATTGTTACTTAATTTTATTATTTTGAAATTAAATACAGTGGGTGATCGGTTAACGAACAGTTCGGATAACGAACAGTTCGGATAACGAACACTTTCGCAAAAGATTTTTTATGATCGGACAATGAACACTTTACTGAACAAACATAAAAAGAAGCAACAGAAAATAACGAATATTGATTGATTTTTCCCTTGTCTTCAGGTAACAGTTTGAAATCTTTCGAAGTGTGGGAGACGTCAACATTGATGCTCAACCCTATACTGATCAGATAGTATTAATATTCCTCCGAATTTTGAAACTCTCCCTTGTAATTCCAGCTTTTTGTTTACCATTCTGACAAATAATTTTTTTATAGTATTCATAAGACTGTCAGACAGGCACTTGTCAAGTTTTGCATCAGAGTTTATTTACGAAAGGTGAAAATTTAACTGTCCCATCAGATATGCATTAACATTTTAATACCAAATTTCATTCAGGCCTTGCATTTAAATAACTTTGTGGACCAGTTGATTTCTGTTCTCTGAATTTTTGTAAGTGCTTTTCTGAACTTTTTATTTAAAAAAGGAAGTGATAATATTATGGAGCCTAAAAAAAAGAAGTGTCAAGAACTATGCTCACTGTAGAAACCAAGAGATAATACCCAAGGTAGAAAGTGGGCACAAGATATCTGACGTTGCTAGGTGTATAGCTTAAACAGGTCTACAGTAGGCACAATCTTACCTATGAAAGATATATCACGAAGTTTGAAGCTGCTAATGGAGTAATGAAAATCACATCTGAGAAATAAAGAGCATTTTAGAGCTCATAATGAAACCTGACGACAGAAGAACTCCAGGGATGTCAGAACAATCATCATCCAAGTGGCATCCAAACCAGAATAAGGTTAACGGGGTTGGGATCTCTACAATTACAATACTATTAATTACTTCCAAAAAGTCCTGAAGAAAAGAGAAAAGCAATTGACATTGGACAGATTCTTTAACCCTCACAAATGGAAAAAACATGATTAATAAAAATGCAAGACTGCATGTATATGTATTTTTACTATTACATATAAATAAACATAGTAAGAAAGTGTATATTTTTAATTTTTTGGAGTCTCCGGAATGAATTAATCAAATTCCCATAAAAACCTATGGTAAATCAATAATCGGTTAATGAACAATTCAGATAATGAACAAAGTCTTGGAACGGATTATGTTCGTTAACCGATCACCCACTGTATATGTTAATTTTTAAATTAAAAATTATTGTCGTCACTAAATGAAGAATCTAAAAAATTTTATTTTGGAAAGAAAAGTTAGTTTTATACAAACATCTCCAACCTGATATATAATATAGCTACAACCAACAGACTGCCGAAAACCTATCGGGCTAGTTTTATGCTAATTATTAAATAAATTACGTAATCAATTTGGTACTAGAGGTAAGCGTTAGGCGCCATCTCTTATTAATATTAATAATTATAAATAATTTTAATTAATTTAAATAATTTGGAACCGCTGGGAGAAAAAATCGGCCCGGAGCGGGACTCGAACCCACAACTCCTGCTTACCGTGCAGATGCGTTGCCAGTTACGCTACCCGGACCTCCAATCCGATCTCTTCCAGCGTATATAATCTAACTACTTAACCATCGACAGTTATTACAACGCCGGCTGGGGACACATTCAGTGCCCACGTCCTACTTCCCATAAGGCTCTCAACTGGCCATCGCAAGCCCCGGCAAGGCGTAATATATATACAAACAGCGGTTTTTTCTCCCAGCGGTTCCAAATTATTTAAATTAATTAAAATTATTTATAATTATTAATATTAATAAGAGATGGCGCCTAACGCTTACCTCTAGTACCAAATTGATTACGTAATTTATTTAATAATTAGCATAAAACTAGCCCGATAGGTTTTCGGCAGTCTGTTGGTTGTAGCTAAAGTTAGTTTTATTTATAAGAACGTGTGGTATACACATGTGGAAGGTATAAAAACAATTAAAAAGCCCTTGTCGAAATATTAACGAACTGTTTTTTTTTACATAAAAAATAAAATTGTTTAACAATAAATTTGACTTGAGTATGGAGAAATAACATGTTAAAATTTCAATTTTTTGAGGCAGTGAGGATGGAGGGTACCTCAAATAGTGAAAAACTCTGATAACACAGACTGTTTGGTAAATTGAATAAACTGAATTTGAATATATTAATGTGTACAATGCAGGAATATACCTGAATTTTCTGAGTGTAGGTCACCCATATCTTTGATGGCTTGTGTAGATGGTAGCATAGGTAGGTAGGGTAATTGCCCAAGATCACTAGCAATACTTTGTGCATGGAACTTCATATTAGTCCAGCAGCTCTTTTTATGTCACATTCAAACCAGTGATATACATAACAATGTTTAATAAAAGAAAAAAATGCTGAACAAGTACATTATGTGATGATAAACTTTGTAATTGATTCAAATTTGTGTTTTTGTGAGATTCGGGAGCATATTTACCCACTGTAGAAGGACATTAAAAAATATGTTGATTAATTAAATTAGCAGATTAATATTTAAGTGATTTTCAAAATAGGAAATCTAATAAAACATCTTTAATTATAAAAATATGATAAGATTTAAGAATAAATTACTGGCAAGTGAGACACAGAAAAATTTATGTTTTTAGATAAATTAATCGTTGAAGAATAGACAACTCATTATTATCCTAATTTTCTTAAAATTCAATACAGTCAGACCTCAGGTTTTGAATGCCTCTGATTATGAACAATTTAGTTTATGAACAAAATTTTGATTGCAATATTTGTCCCTGTTACTGAACAAGCTACTTGGCAAGAGCCGTTCACATATGTTCAACTCCATACACTTCTTGTATTAAAGAAAGCCCGATCAGTCAACGATAGGACTACTGTTCAGAAGTTAGTGGTGCCAAGATTGACTCATGTTATTAGACATTGTGACACAAACCATTGATGGCATAGTTATTCAAATTATATTTCAATGTACATGCAAGTAAGATACTACTACTGATTTTCGGTACGTGTCACAATTGAATTTAAATCAAATTAATTAATAAAATCCGCATTAATTGGCATTCACGTAATATAAATGACATCTATGAATTTGTGTTTAAACGTGCTTAACTCAAATGAAATAACTAACAAAAATATTGGATTGTTCGGAAAGTAAGTTAATTTTTTCCGTGGAAAAAAAAACAATATTTTTATAATAGATATTTTATTGAATTATATATCAACCATTTTGGTCAAATACCTCTTGTCATCATTTCTGGTAGTAGCATGATTTCAATTCATAAAAGTTTTTATCATTGCTTACAAAAAACTGATCCAAGTGATTTTTGACATTGTCATTTCAAGTAAATGTCTTAAAGTTAAAAAAATTTGTATAGACTGGAACAAGTAATAATCTTGAGTGTGCTCGATCTGGCAAATATAGTCGGTGTGATAGCATGTCCCATCTAAGTTATAACAGTTTCTCACGAGTTACCAAACTTGTGTGAAATTTGACATTATCGTGGTAAAACACTACACCTGTTTTGTTGATCAATTTTTGCCGCCTCTTCTGTTTGATGATATTACTCAATTTGTTTACTCGATGGCAGTACACTTTTGAATCAATTGTTAAACTGTCTGGTAAAAGCTCCAAAAAAAAATTTCCTTAAAATCCCACCAAAGAGAGCATCTTTCTTTAAGAACATGTAGAACCCATATATCAAGCTTTGAAATGAAACCAATTTGTTTCAAGTAATCATAAACGGTTCAATTCGACAAATTTAATCTCTTAGTGATTTCACGTGTTGTTATTCAGCAGTTTGCTTCAGTCAGTATCTTTATTTTGTTTTCATTGGCTTCAACTGGCCATCCAGAACGTGGTGCATCTTCAATATTGAAATTGCCAGAACGAAATTTTGGAACTGTCGTTCTGTCGATACATCTCCATACACATCACACAATTTTTTTCTCGCTTGAACAGCATTCTTACCTTTTCGGTAATAGAAGAGCAAGATATGCCAAAAATGCTGCTTTCGATCTTCCATATTTGATGAGACACAAAAAATAAACAATTGCATGAAATCAAACAAAATTTTTTACAAATAAGCCTTAAAATGCTAGCTGTCAAAATATACAGTGATGATACGGTTTAGAGTGAAAATGGTGGAAAAAATATGACTAATCCGTCTAGTGGTAAAAAAAAACGAACTTACTTTCTAAACACCTAATAAAAAGTTGCCTTTTACTCACTTTCAGTGAACCTTCATATTGATATCACTTTTTTGAAGATTTTTACTGTTTGTATGCATGATTAACCTGTCCTGCATTGTTTCTGAAGATTTTTGTATTTACCTGTATGGGCAACCCCGAATATTTTCNCACCTAATAAAAAGTTGCCTTTTACTCACTTTCAGTGAACCTTCATATTGATATCACTTTTTTGAAGATTTTTACTGTTTGTATGCATGATTAACCTGTCCTGCATTGTTTCTGAAGATTTTTGTATTTACCTGTATGGGCAACCCCGAATATTTTCGTGTGTGCATCAGAATGTTTTTGATACTAGATGTCGCTATGCATCATAATTTTATATTAAAACAAACTTTTGAAATATAATTTTTTTTTTTTTTATATTTTTCAATATATTTATTTTGTTTGTGCAAAATAAAAAAAATAATTTTTAACGATACAGTAGCCACAATTATTATTATTATAAAAAAATTTTCATTAGGCTTAACATTGACAAAAATACAACATGGCGTCACAGACAACAGAGAAGAATTTCAACATTGGATAGGTTAAAGCAAATGTAGATCTGTTATTGCAATCATATAAAAAACAATTTGTTTTAATTTATGTAGAGTAAAGACATTTTGAAAATTTTAGAGTTTTTTTTTAGTACTGCATATTGTTTGGCCAAGATTCATAAAACTACTTTATTTAATTGTTTTCCTCTGTTTATAGAAAAAAATTTCTTCCACAGCTTCTCAGATAATATGAAAATTGACTAAACAGGACTCTTTTTGTACTTGTGGCCCAAAAGTAGATATGTAGTGAGGGAGGGAATGTTGAAGGATGATACCTCTTTCTTTGAGATATATAAACAAGAGCTGAACACAATTGTCTATACAGGCATACCTCGACTTACGTCGTTTCGAGTTACGTCGTTCCCGATTATACGTCGCTTGTTAAAAAAGTATATGGAAAAATAAAAATCAAGTTTAAGTCATTTTATTCGACTTTACGTCTGTCCGCCACAAATATTGAAGTCGTAATATCACTAGATAAACGTTTAAAGCACATAAAATCATATTAAAATATATACAAGTATGTACTGTATTTACAGTACACGCATTCGTAAATTTAGATTACTTTTTTTGTACTATATTAAAAACTAAAATTTATTTGTTTGTAAGCTTAAAATAGATTTTTATTAACCATATATTATTTAAAATGCTTTCCTAGTGATAAGTAGATTCGGAGACAGGTAAATTCGACTTACGTCGTTTTCCTGGAACCAATTACCGACGTAAGGCGAGGTATACCTGTATATATGTATATAATATGGTATTATATCTTTGTTTATTTACTGTTTTATACAGGATGTTTTGAAACTCATGGGTAAAAATTTAAGGGGTGATAGAAAACATCTAAACAAGAAATTTTTACCATACAATGCATGGGCAGAGAGCAAGCGGTGAATCGCTAGACGGCAATGTAATGGAAAGCATAAAGCACAAGTTTTCTTACACATCGTCATTTCTACTGAGGATTTCAGAAGGCATGGTGACATACAGTAATCAGGAAAAGGTGGACATCGCTCTTTTGAGCAGTTTCTGTAATTTTGCCACATATGTTGTCAATAAAATTATTTAGTACCTCCTCTATTCATTTGGTGTTTCATTCTTTCGTGTGACAGTAATGGATACCTCCTAGCAGTTCATCGCTTGCTCTCCGCCCATGCATTGTATGGTGAAAATTTCTTGTTTAGATGTTTCTATCACCCCTTAAATTTTTGCTCATGAGTTTCAAAACACCCTGTGTATATATATATATATAAATTTATGAATTGTTATTTTATTTATATATATATAAATGGATGTGTGTGTCCCTATATTTCACTTTTCTGCAAAAACTACACATCGCAAATGAATGCTGTTTGTATGTGGTGGTAGCCCCAAGTCTCCATTCATGCACTATGGTGGTTGCGTCTCGATAGCTATAAGGGTGCAGGAGATATGAGGCTGAAAGTGGTTTTCTATTTCGAATGTTATGTTCGAATTTAATTCGAACAAAATTCAAATTCGAATTGGTTCGATTATAGAATGATTGTAAACGTTCCAGAAAATTTATCAAATTGAAAATAGTTCATTTGACTGGACATAAAAGTTCTCTAATTAGTCTGGAAACGGGGGACCTAATTCTTGCATTCTGTGAAAACGGGTAAGATTGGCTATAATGTAATTATCTTAATCTTCACTATCGTTACTTTTTGCCCAGCGAAGCGTGTCCTTGCGGCTAGATTCTAGATTACTTAGAAAAACAGTCTTTTATATATATAAAAAAAAAACAAACTATATTACATACAAATAAAAACCCAGCAAAGCAGGTCCTTGCAGCTAGTATATATATAAAATAACAACTCATAAACCAATTTAATTGATTAATGATAAACAAATAATTGTTAATGTAGTCCAATAATTCAGCAGATAATTTGGCATTACTTACTGTCTACACACTACATGGAAAATACATACAGACAAGTACATACAATAACTGGCTTATAACTATACACCTGCCTTTGGCCTGTCCTACATTATCAGCTAAGTCTGAAGTAACAGTAAATTTAAGTTTATCTAGATATGTATGGTTTGTCTAAGTATTTTCAGATAATGTCTGAAATAATTGTGATTTTATATTATACCTGAAATGTTATCAGGCAAACCTAAGTCTACTGAATATATTGAATAATGAAATTTAAGTGAAATATATGGAATTATTACTGTCATCTTTTTCTATGTTATATTTATGAGTTTATTAAAATCTTTGTATGGTTACAATATTTTCATGCATATAACCTGTAGATTATTGGTATTTAAAAGGCAATTTGGAAAAGAATTTGGGTTATCTAATAAGATTGGTTATATGCTAATTTTAAATTGCAATTGTGAATTTGTGTGTATGGGCATAGGTTGCTCTTTGCAATAATAAAAGTATCTTGTTCTAGCAGTTTCCAGCAGAGTGTATATATATATATGGTATTTTATATGTTAAACATATGAAAAAATGACAATTTAATATAAGTATTAAAAGCTTGTATGATAATACATCAATGCAAGTATTGAATTATTTATTTTTAACTAAGTTTGATATACATTTATTTTTATTATAGGCATGAGCCTCCAGCACCTTCAATTAGTGAAGCAGAATTTGAGGAAATAATGAATCGAAATAGAACTGTGTCAAGTAGTGCTATTGCAAGAGCTGTTGCAGATGCTAGTGCAGGTAAAATCATCTTTCAGATTTCAGGTTTAAATTATACAAAAATTTAAATCAAATACAAACTAATAAACTATTCAGATTATAAGTTACTTCCATATTTGATTAATAAGGTATTTTAATAATTAGATGAATTGATATCAGTAGTTATATTATTGTCTTTTCTTAGTTTCAGTAATTTTATTAATGTTGAAATTATTGGAAAAGAACAGTTTAGAGCCACGATTCCCACCAGGGTATATGCTTGATGGTATAAGGGTACACAAGAAAATTATAATAATAATAATTGTGGAGGTACTATAAGAATATTTGGATTTTCCATTGTGGCCTTTGGTGATATGATGCTTAATTTTAAATAAAAATATAATTATATGTCCTTTCTTCAATGCTTTTTAACGTTTTAAAAAAACCTTACATGTACAGTTGACCCCCTATAACACAGGTTCCTATAGTTCATATTCCAATATCACGGCGAAAAAATTGCAACCGTATTCGTATAAACAAGCTTAAAAAACTCGTATAATTCAGTAAAACGTCATTGCTGACTCATGTCACGACAGGATTGGTCGAATCTGGACCAATAGTGGACGAGCAGCCGAACTACTTACACGCTACAGAGAGTTTAGGCAGGTAAGTTGAGTTTACTATCATCTGTACAGTATATAAATTAGGTACTGTAAGTCTAATACAGTACTGTAATTTTATACATTTCTTGTGAAAAAACATTTCTTATTCAACAGCCATAAAAATTATTTCTATTAATGATGTCTCCAAAGTTCAGTGAATTTTTCAAAGAAAAATAACTTATCAGAAAACTTTCGCCATTGCTTAAGCTTGTTTTCGTTGCAGAGCAGCGCTCCACAACGAAAACAAGTTTAAGCAATGGCGTCGTTGAACGGTACATACTCGGTAAGTAATCCTACAATTTTTTGTTTATAGCATAGTTTATATGGATTATTCCCAAAAAATTACACGTATTTTGGAAATGTTGAGTTGAATTAGTCTAGAATTGATTAATTTTATGAAAGAAAACCTTTCAAACAGCCATAGTCCGTAAATTGCATACGTGTCGGGCTGTGATTGGCTCATGTATTCAAGGACTCTTAGAACATCAGTTTCATAAAGAATGGAGCATATCTACCATGTTATGGGGGTCGACTGTAATTGTACAGCACTGTGTAACTGACCAAGGCACTACTATTTGACAAACATGTGAAATAAAACTTTGCAGAAATGTGCTATTGAACTTAGGAAAATGGGCTGCCAAGGGGTACAGAAGTCAAAAAAGGTCAAGCACCATTGATTTAGAGCATACTGAAATTTTCAGTTTTTTATGTCCCATTTAATTGTTAGATATTCTATTTCAAATATTTCAAGTTGGATTCTCTTCTTAGACATATAATAATCATTATGATTATATAAATTAATAACTGTACTAATCAAGATTTTAAGAATTATCCAAGTTCATAGTCATTAAATTATAGATTCAGCTATGTACAACACCTTTGCTATGACCCTGTTCATGAATAAATAAAGTTTAAGATTTTTAATATTTAAAGATATTTTTACAACTTTTGTAGAGAAACTCTGTAACAGTTGATTATTATTTACAAATTTTAACAAATATTTTAAGTGGTAATAATTACATTTTTAATTTTAGGTGATTTTGCTAGTGCTATTGAGACACTTGTCACTGCTATTTCGCTAATTAAACAGTCTAAGGTGGCTAATGATGATCGTTGTAAAATTTTGATTAGTTCTTTACAAGACACATTGCATGGTATTGAATCAAAATCTTACGGTTCAAGGTAAGCTGTTTTTAAAACTTTTATAAGAAATTAAAATATAACTCTTTTGGAAGGTTTATTAATTGATAAGTTAGTGAAGTTCATACCTAACAGGCAGTATCATAGCAACTGTGTCAAGTAGTGCTATTGCAAGAGCTGTTGCAGATGCTAGTGCAGGTAAAATCATCTTTCAGATTTCAGGTTTAAATTATACAAAAATTTAAATCAAATACAAACTAATAAACTATTCAGATTATAAGTTACTTCCATATTTGATTAATAAGGTATTTTAATAATTAGATGAATTGATATCAGTAGTTATATTATTGTCTTTTCTTAGTTTCAGTAATTTTATTAATGTTGAAATTATTGGAAAAGAACAGTTTAGAGCCACGATTCCCACCAGGGTATATGCTTGATGGTATAAGGGTACACAAGAAAATTATAATAATAATAATTGTGGAGGTACTATAAGAATATTTGGATTTTCCATTGTGGCCTTTGGTGATATGATGCTTAATTTTAAATAAAAATATAATTATATGTCCTTTCTTCAATGCTTTTTAACGTTTTAAAAAAACCTTACATGTACAGTTGACCCCCTATAACACAGGTTCCTATAGTTCATATTCCAATATCACGGCGAAAAAATTGCAACCGTATTCGTATAAACAAGCTTAAAAAACTCGTATAATTCAGTAAAACGTCATTGCTGACTCATGTCACGACAGGATTGGTCGAATCTGGACCAATAGTGGACGAGCAGCCGAACTACTTACACGCTACAGAGAGTTTAGGCAGGTAAGTTGAGTTTACTATCANATATATTACATATCATAAGCCATTAATATATTTAATAATTAAAAATTATTATATTGATAATTAAAATATATATATACAGTTGACATGTCTTAAAACAAACACTGATAAAGCGGATTCTTGTGTTAAAGCAAATTTTGCTGTTGTCCTGGCAAAATGCAATGGGAAAACTGACCTCTAAAATGTTCATATGGTGTTCTTTTGTGTAGGAGGTGATCTGTCTGCTAGTTGTTTCAATGTATTCCAAACTATTTTTGAGTTCGGTTTTCGATAAGGGAGATGGAGTATACACCCACAGCGAATGTTACCAAACTGTCAGGTCTTTGGCATTTCTGAGGAGAGAGAAGATATTTGGGCTCCTTTTATAGGCCATGTTGCTGTTATTGATATGTGCTATCTCTTTGTAAACAGGCCAGAGCTGGGTTGTACAAGTATGTGACCAGCTTGTGTGTCTCAGAGCAAGGTGGGTTGCAGGTCTTGGGTTGTGTGTGGTTGGTTTGGTGTTCTATGATTACCTAATAGACTTCTTATAAAATCCATGTTATACTGTCTGGTTGATGATGATTTGTAATTCTTGCATCCTATTGCTTGAATTGGATATGTGCAAAAATGCTCTACAGACTAGAAAGTTAAAAGTGGCCCATCTTGTATGAAATGAGATTGTGTGAGGATTGTTGAATGAATATGAGGTTAATAGATTGGTTTTCTGTACACTCCCGTAACTATGCATCCATCTCTGAATTTGATGTCAACATCTAAGAAGTCACTCCCTCATGGTTATGCTGTTCTAGGTTGAGCTATAACCCATAAAGGTTTATATTAAAGTCATCCAATACCAGTTGTATATCATGTTCAGTGTGCCAAAGAATAAAGATATTGTCTATGTATTGGGAACAGAGAACCATTCTGTTAAAATATTTAGTGAAGATGGAGACTTCCAGCTTACAGATGACCAATTCATAGAAGGTTCCCGAAAGTGGACTTCCCATTGGGACATCTTGCTGTTGTTGGTAAGTAGTTTCTTCAAAGGCAAATTGAGTAGGTGTGGCACAGAATGTCTGCCAATTCCAAGATGTTGGAGTGGTGATTGGACACATTATTGATGTGACGTATTAAGAAATCTCTTAAACAATAAAAACATGGCTCGGTCTTACTTTACGATATAGTAATTTGAAGTTGCACACTGTGAAGAATCCCTGACCTGGAAGTTGAATGTCCTTGAGTAAGGAGATAAGTTTCTGTGGACTCATGATTGTATGTGGGAAGGACGGCAGAATGTCATGAAACAAATTTAATAAGGAGGAACCAATCTCAGCCTCCAAAACACTGAGAATCTTTGCCTTTGCACAAACTTGACATGTGTTTATGCCTGGTAGTGGATAATGTCACATTCTTGACCATCCAAATTGAAAGAATCATCAATAATACTTTAACATCATAAATAAATAAATTTTTAATAATTTTAACATAATAAATGCTACAATTTCAGTATTTTAGTATATAAAATATATCTATAAGTGTTTTATAACATAGTGACCAGAGGGTCAGCAGCACCAGACCGATGATGCCTATGTCAGGACTGACACCACTGTGTCTTTTAGGCAGACACAGAAACCTTGTTGACTGCGTTTTCGATTTTATGTGAGCGGTTGTGAATGTAGGCGGTTTGAGTCTGGGGCGGAGACTGCCTGAGAGACAATGCAGCTGAAAGTGCACAACTTAATTATAAAGAAATAATACCCGTTTATTTATGTAAACTATTTTTAAAAAACATAGGATAACAGAGTTCTGTTACAGTGTTCATATAGCGTCATAAAATGGATAAAGCTTATGTAGCATAACATACTGGATAAGGGTGATATAGCATAACATAATAGTAGGTACTGGGTTAATAGATTCCTAACTGAGAGAGAGTTTACATTATTATGTGCAATGCTAAATATCTTGATCAGCTTGATTGAAGTCTTGAGGCTGCCAAATGTCCTGATGACGGTGTGGAGAGGGTTCAGGTAGGTTGGGTAGAATTAGGCTGCTTTATGGTACAGTTCACTATCAAATGTTCGTTGCTAAGCCGTCTATGGTAAACGGCGGTTAAAGAGATCAGTGATGGGACTCTCACATGAAAAGGAAGAGATTGGCAAATTCTCCTTGTCAGTTTCAATGTTTGTCTTTTCACTTCAGGGATCTTCCCCCTTGATTTCAATGCCCTTTTTAGGTGATGTTAAAGTTTTTGACCAATAGATGAATTTCGGATGAAAGTTCCTGGTGACACATACACTCAGAAGGTGTGTCATCTTTGGAAAGGAAGTAAATCTGGGGAAAGATGCGATCACATCCTTCCATTTTTTATTAAGTGTTGAGAAAATTTTTCTTTATATAATGTGTGAAATTTAAGCATTATTCTTAATTAATTTGATATATTTTGTTGTGGTTAATTAAAATTTCCATCTTATCCACACTCTTCCAACATCTAATGGATTTTGTTTTTATAGGAGTAAAGATAGGCCTCGTTCCCGAGAGAGAGAACGTTCTCGAGAGAGATCGTCTCGAAGAGAAAAATCTAGTAGACGTGATAGATCAAGAAGTAGAGATAGAGATTACAGAGAACGCAGTAGAGAACGAGATCGTTACCATGATGACCGTTACAGAGAGAAAGACAGAGATAGGGATCGAGACAGAGAACATCGTAGCAGTCGACATTAAAGCATTAAGGTCAGTTGTGATTTATATTCATAAACTTCTTATCTGTTTCTTATGTTTTCTTATTTGTTAAATTAATATATTAGAGATTTTAAAAGATTTTTTTCAGATTAACAGATGTATATAGGTAAGTATGTTTGTATTTACAAACTGATTTTGTGCAATATTTGGGGTCATTGTTTAATTTGAACTGAAGAATGAGTGGTATTTTTACTGTGCTGAATTTTTGTATTGTTTTAGAATTCTGTTAATAAATATTTGATGTAAATAATAATTTAGCATGTATGTATCAAAAGATTAAAATCATATGTATTTTCTTCTGAAATGAACTGACTCAGTCATTATCTCATTGATGATACAGAATTTGAAAAGTTCATTTATAACATGTTTAATCTGAATTTTCAGAATATTAATTTGAGAGTATGACTATTTATCATTATTTAGTTATGTTAATATTTTTAATTTGTCCTCCTTTTTGACAAAATTATATGGTCAGTGTTTAGTATAAAAATACTAGAAATATAAAAAAAGATGATTTTGAAAATTATTTAATTGTTTCATAATGTAATGTTTGCTTATTATGTATATTAGAAAGTAAAATTTAAAACTTTTGGAGTCGCCATTATTTAATCAGATTAAGCACTTTTTGGGATTGTAAAATCCCTAATCTGTTTAAATAATGGCAACTCCTTCAGTAATTTAATGTTTTACTTCTAATGTGTGTACCTGTTCCTGTTTTGTGTAACATTTACTGCTTTTAAATTCTTGTGTGCGGCATACTCAGAAATAAGTTTGGAGTCAAACAATTGTTTTATTAGTTTCTAAACATTTTTTATTGTATTTTTGGATACCACTATATATTTTTAAACTAAGATATGATTACAAATACTTACAAAGAGAAAGATAAGTTTGTCTAGACATTTTTTTTTAATTAATATTTTGAAAATTTACTAAAAAAATTTTTATATAAAAGTAATCTTTGTTTGAACATGATACATTCAATAAATAATAAGATAAGGGCTGGGTCAGTTTATATTCATTTCCAAATTAATGCTAGAATTTTTTTTAATCAGCTTATTAATTTACTCATTATTAAATAACTTTAATTAAACCTAGGTCGAAAATTTTTATTTTTTCCTTTAACATTTATGGAATTCTTTTATTTACAATTGTTATAATGATTTTTCCCCTTTAGTCCCTACTTCATAAATTTATAAGTTATGGTTGAATGTGTTTATTAGACAAAATAAAAATTAACAATTTTATTCTGTGATTATAAAAAAATTGAAAATAAATTTATTAGTAAGGAATAAATTTTATATATGATATGTCATAGTTTTTAATTGAAACATAATCACATTAGATAATCTAATAATTTATGAATTGCCATTTTATTTTGATTAAGAATTATTATAACAACTGTATAAGTAAACAGATGTTGAAAAATCTAAAGTAATTTTAATTATATATTCAAATAATTACAGGAACAATTTTTCTATTGATGATATTTTAATATTATAGTGTAATATTATATAGAAAATTTGCGAAAATTTAATTTTAAGTTATGTTGTATTGAAATACTATAGAAATTATTAGAATAAGATAGAATAAGGATGCATATTATTTTATTTCATTTCTTAAATCATCAATGAATATAAATGTCAAACTGCAAAAAAATTGTAATCTATTGATGTTTGAAGAATTTCTCTGTTTCTGAAGAGATGTTAACATTCAGTTAAATTATTTTTAAGCTTACATTTGTTTTTCTTCTTTCTCTTATTAAATGTTATGCTATGTTTTATATAACATATTATGTAGCAATGTATACATGTTTATAGATGCCTAAATACTGACATTATATACAGAAACTGAATATATAAAAATGTGAGGCAATGTAACAGTTCAGTCTGTTTATAATCTATCTCTATGTTTTAATGAAAAAATATAATTAAAATGAATGGATTTTTAAATTACAGTATGTTATTCAATACTATTATTATTATTATTTTGGTTTGTATTATATATTAAAATTATGAAAAACCACAAATCTGATATCAGAATGAATGATGGTAAATAATTAAATATGCATTATCTTTATTTATTGAAAGTCTACTGAATTATTTTTTTCTTAGCACTTGCTATTAGTTACAAGAATTACAATATATTCAAATTTAATAAAAGTTATTTTTATTTTACTTTACTTTATAAATAATTCTATTTTCAGTATTATATAATATCATGAAACAGAATAATGCATTGTCAATCAGTTTCAAATGTCATTTTATTATGTCTTGTATCCAGATTTTAATCTGGGTTGTTTGCAATTACATAATATGCTATATAATACAGCAGTGAATTATTTGGTGTAATTTATTCAAAATTCAAACACTGCTTTCATTTTACTAACACAATTTCTTTATTGTTGCTCTTATTATCAAACTTTTTCAATCTTTAAAAAAATAAACAAATATAGTGTGTTTAAACCTCCTCTTTTTTCTATGTTAAAATTAAAATGTCAAAATTATATTTCATTAAGCTATAAATTATTGTGGAGAAAACTATAAACATCTGAAATTTTCCTCCTAAGTTTTTTCTTTCAATAAGAGAAAGAACAACAGAAAACAAATATATTTTAACATTTATGTTAATTATATATTTTTAATAAATTCTTAAAAATCTGAAGCACAAAAAACATTGTTAACAAATTTATTTTGTAAAATCCATATTCTAATATAAAAGAAATATGCTTTCATCTTTTATTAGATTTAATTTAAATCTACATTTTTATAATAAGATGAAAAGTTATAATGTTTATTATAAGTTAAATCTGAGGTATAGTTGAAGATTTCCATTCTGAAGTACCATTAAATTTTCAAGAAAAAATTTTTGATATATATTTCTAAGTACACCTATCCCTCTTTTTTACACGAGAAAGAAACAGTTTATTTGAAAATTTTTAAATTTAACTCTTTTTGAACAATAATGCCATTTTAACAAAGTTACTCTTTTTGTTAAAATCAAGAGTTCATTTATCTTTTTTAAGCACAGTACAGTACATCAAAGAATGTTGTATGTTGATTTTATGTTTCCTGTGCTACCTTGTGTTTACTATATTTACATACACAAATAATGTTAATGATAAATGAAGTTAGAATAAAAAAAAAGCCTGTGTTTCGTAAATTACTTTTTTTTTTTGTTCCATTAAAGTTGTGGATCCTATGAAGCATTTTTCTACGTGATGCATGTACTGTTCTTCTTACGTGACCTTCTGTTTCACGGCACTCTTTGAAATGTATCCACTATGCAAAAAAGAGGGATAGGTACTGTACTGTACAATGATTTAGTCAGGATATGGAATGATATATGTTAAATACATTTTTCACATATAATTATTATTTGGCTGTTTTGAGAACCGTTTGTATATTGTAAGGTTTTACATAGTAAATTTTTTTTATTATTATTTTACTACTATTAATTATTTAGGATTTTTGTATTGGAAATTTCGATTGTTTTTCAAACTTTTCAAGAAATTTGTAATAAGATTACTATTTTTTGAATAAAAAATGTGTATAAAAACAACTTTGTCTAAAAAAATTTAAATTAGTAAAGTGGAGATTATCTAAAATTTATATAGTTTTATATTTAAAATGATTGCTTAATCTTATTCTAGCAATCTTCTTGTCTTTTACTGTTAGCTATATTTTTTGATTTGATGAATGTTTATTCAAACTCCAGTAGTCTTGTTTCACATGGTGTAGTAATAATTACAGATGTATATTTTCACAGGTAGTGGATGGCTAGATTAACTCTTGAATGCACAGGCATAATTCTGATTATTAATGCACATACTATTCTAATTATGAAATTCAGTATGTATAGTAAAAACATAAGTAAAATGTTTTAAATATGATTTAGATTTTTTCTATTAATTGTAAATTGTTGCATAAAAGTGTCTTTTTGTGCAACAATTTTATACATGATGTTATACAGATTTATGCAGAATTTAGTTTTGTACATACGAACCCATGTAAAACAAGACCATACTACATATAACTATAAATATTAAAAATTTGCTATTTTTTAATAATATATTTAATAGATAATTTTGGAAAAAGTATTTTTATTCATTAGTCAAACATTTATTAAATCAAAAATTGTATAGCTATAAAAAAGGATGAAAAAAATAGTACTTTAAATTTGAAAATAATTCAGTAATTTCTTCAAGATTTTGAATTTCACTTATCTGTTTTTCATTAAAACAAGTTGAAAACAGAATTAATCGCTAAACTATCAGTAGTTTGTTATTATCCTCGGATAAGACAAATTTTAAAGTTTTCGCGTAAATCTGTTATCTATATATTTTTATAATGCAAAATTTCAAACTGCTTGTTTCTGAATAAATGTAGTAATGTACAGTAAAAGATTTAATAAAATGAATATTTTAGTATGATTATCCACTGCTTCATTTTCACATAGACATTGATTTATATATATATATTATAAATATTCAATGTAAATGTGATTTCTGAACTTCAGCTAGACTTCCAGCAAAAAATGAAAATGTTCAGTTATTTTGTATAAAATTTGCTTAATATATTGTTAGTCTCATTTTAATTTTTTTCAAATATTGAATAGGAAAAATGATTAATGGTCAAGTATTTTGAATACTTGTATTCAAAATGTTTTGTAAATTATATTTATATGTGAAAAAATGTGTGTCTAATTGGTAGCTACTATTAAATGTTTAAAAAATACTTTGAAAGGTCAAAATACATTATTAAACAGGGTCCTTTCTTACAGAAACAATTAGATTTGGGATTGAAATAAATTTTGCACTGTATATACACTTAAATGCAATATGTAGGATTAGTTAGTTAAATGTTTGTATGAATTAAAACAGCTTTGTGTTTGTTGCACACTATTCACTGTAATAATAAACAGATTTTTTTTTTAATTTAGAAAGAAGGAAAAACGAGAAAACATTTTGCAAAAAAAAATAGTTTCATAATTTATGTAAATATATTAAATTTGCTTATATTTTAAACCCATATTTTTTCCTATATCAAAATAGTATCAATTTCATATGTTTAACAATGATTCTGATTTCATACACTGCTACCAGTGTTAATTTTTTTCATCAAATTTATAATTAATAGATTAATTAATAAAATAAATGTGATTAAAGTACAAATTGTTTCATACATCTTGTCTGGGCAATGTGTGGTACTTGGTTGTGACTCTGGAATTTTTATAAAGTTTAAGAGCTCCTTTTTTTTGGTAACTCAGTGACCTTACCATAGATTCATCAAATAATCTGTTCTCTTCAGTAAGTAAACAGACTTGTCTCTGCTATCACACATTTTTACAACCTGCCAAGATTTATGAAACAAGCTGTATGTAGTTTACTTTTAGTAATGTGATCTTTGAATTGCCTTACGAGGATAATTCACAGTG